TATATATATATATATATAAAATAAATAAAACTTGAAAAACTTCAAGGCAAGTTTACAGTCCTTCGTTTAAAAGAGAAGAGTCAATTGATTTACAACCACACTTCAGGTAACGAGCAAATTAATTAACTCGAAAGGCCTGTACACCGACCGTAATAAATTATTTTCCATTTACCGCTATTTATCCGTATCGTTAACCCTCCCCTCCCCCTCCTTTTCAACTCAAGTATGCGGATCTGGTTACAAGTCGAGCGGCGCTTGTTCCGATAATGGCATAATGGAATAATGGACGTCAAGTACAGTTGGAATCTGAATGATATTTCAACGGTGGATATCATCGTTGAACCTCGATAGATTGTGGAATTCAAAATCGTATCGGCTTGCGGTTAACGCTTAGCTCTATCTCCCGTTTCCGGTTTTCACCCCGCATCCTTTGAACACGAATTGACATTGAAATACGTTCAATGTCGCGCGAACGACAATTCGGAAAAAATTTGAAATTAGATACTCCTATCAATCATTAATTTACTAGTTTCTATTTCGTGTTATTTATTGTTAAAGAAGAAGGTGGTTTGTGTTTTTCTCTTAAGATCTGATCTTCGTGATCAAAATTTTGCTTAAAATACACGTATTAAAAGATCGGAGCAAAAGAAAAACAACTTAATAAAGAATTTAATAAATCAATCAGGAACTTGAAGATAAGGACGATAAAAATAACTCTTTAGTAAACACAAATTCTATTCTTTATAAATCTGCTGTTTTTTTATAAAATGCACATTTGCATCTAGAATTCACAAACGAGGCATTTAATCTATGTCAATCTATGAAATAAGATCCGATAGAAAATATGTATATATGTATGTTGTAATATCACGAGGAATTTCGATATCCGAAATAGAGAATGAGTTTTATGATTCATATTGTACGCTTATTTCTGTTTCAAAGATTTCGCTTCTCGCCACATTAGCCTCATTGCGGAGGTGGAGGGAGCAATATACGAATACATACAGCTTTGAAAATTTTAAATTTTTATAGTTTAAAACATGAAAAGACCTTATTTATTGGTTCTAATTTCATTTACTAAATATATCCATGATTCTTTAACGCACAATTTCTTCAATTGATAAGAAATATTTTATTTCAAAATTGCGCGAAAAACTTTCCCTCTGCAGGTTAGGTTATTTATACCTGTTGCTGGTGACAATTTCGTAATATGAATAATGATAATTATGACATCTTTTTGTTTGCAGATGATTATAGAGTTAGTAAAAAGAGAATACGACACTTAAATATTTTCATCATAAATTTCAAAAACCACGATAAAATTACTATCACCTCTGACATGTACGCCAATATTCTTGCACTTGAATGATTAACTATACTGAAACCGACATCATATAAGAAAGATCCTACTACAACATTTCTATAAAATTATTATTTATATCAATAACTGCCATTATAAGTGCGTTATTCAGAAAAAAATTACAAAAATTTTTATAATTGTAAAATCCTGAAAATCAAAACTATTGATCTATTGACCAATTAATTTGTAAACAGTACCATTTTTCGAATATCTCGCTTAGGATATCAAAGTTTTTTAATGATATTTAGTCATCGTTATATAGATTATTAAATGCTTTTAATTTCACGTTTATTGAAATTTTTTCATAATATATGAGTTACAAAAATTTTAAAATTTTATAATATTTTTGCAATTATTAATCTGTATTGCTTACTTAAGTAATTATAAGCGGTATAATATCTTCGTAAATTTTTCTTATAATTAACTTTTATACAACTAATATCGCAAATCTTCAAATATTCTTACAAACATATTAATTTTAATCAAATAATAACTCTCATGAACACAAACAATATTGCAATACTTACATGCAATGCTCTTTATACGACCACGTTATAACACAACTTATGAATAACTTACATAATTTATAAATTTACAGAACTTAATTTAATTATACATTTAGTACACTCGCATAAAAAATTGGTATAAAATTTGAAATTCAAATCGAATAAAAACAAACAGAGTTGTGTCGTCAAATAAAATCAAACTCCAAAGGTTCACAAATTAATCCTCTTGAATTTTTTACAAATGAAAATTTAATCGATTTATCAACACTGAAACATCACCACCACGTAGCGGTGAAAAGATGAAACAAATCACGGAAATCATGATTTTATTGCACAGTAGATTCTATATATTCCTTGATTTATGACCACGTGATATGCTGCTATGCATCGAATTTACTTATTATGATTTTGTACATATTATTTATATATTATAACACGTTAAATTAATGTGAATATGAATATTTAATTTATTTGTCTAAATACATTTAATCTAAATAACATCATTATTTTGGAAAAATTTTAATAGCAAATATACTTTAATTTCTGGTAACAATTACATAGTGGTAAACTACATAATTGTAGAAATAAAACAGAATAGATACACTACGTTCAGTTGTTATTTAAAGTCATTGTCAATATTAAATAATTTCCCTGCTGTTGACACTGACGCTGACTGGATATCATAACCTTATCTTAACCTATTTTTACAATGAACTTTCGAAATTTACTGTTTTATATTAAGTATAGAAATATCTTATTTCAAGAAACTAAACGCTATGCTGGTCATAGCAAGTGGAAAAATATTAAAGCTACCAAAGAAACCAATGATATTGCAAGATCAATATTATTTAAAAGCATATCTTATAAAATGAAAGCTGTGGCAGTAGGTGTGTTTCTGACCTTTTAAAATTTTGCATTTTGATTTGAATAAAATAATGTAAACTTTGTTCCTTTTCTAAAGAAACTGGCGACCCAAATCCATATACCAATGCAAAATTAGCAAATTTAGTTGAATATGCAAAAAAAGTTAACATGCCAACATCTACATTAAAAGGAATTCTAGAAAAAATTCAAAATAATTTAAACTCTGGTGAAACTCATGTATTACCCATGCGTATGTTAAAAGGACCTGCATTCATCATTTATTTTGTAACTGACAAACTTGCACATGTAAAATTTCATATTGTGCATATATCCAAAAAATTTAAGTGAATATTCTTTTTTTAGTATTATCTCAATTTAAAATACATGTTTTAATATTAAGATGTATTAACTTATACATAATTTCTAGTATCAAACCTTTAGATTCTTCAACATTTTCACACATGTTCGAGTGTGCAAGTTTTATTATAGCATCTAAGGATTGTACCTTGGAAGAAGCAATGGAAGATGCAATAAAAGCTAATGCAGAAGATGTAGAAGAAATAGAACATGAAATTGGTCCATGTTTCAAGGTATAAAATCCAATTGCTTCTATTCTAATAATTTGCTTAAACAAATTTTTATTTTAATACTTTATTTTTATTTTCATTTGTTATAGTTTAAAGGTGAATTTCTTCATCCAGAAAAAATTACAACACAATTAGGAAATCTAGAATATACTATAATTTCAGCAGAAAGCAGATGTATACCTAATGTCACAGCTGAAGTAACTGAAGAAGAATTATTAAACATAAGTAAATATAAAAAAAAGATTACAACAGATATAAAGGAAATTATAAAAATAGAAGATAACATTGTGTGATTGTAAATATATATATATATATATATACACACACACACACACACATGTAAAAATAATTACAACAGTAAAGACTATAAATATAGTTTATTATTATTTATATTAATTAACAAAATTAATATTTTCATTTTAGAAAATATAAATTTAAAAAATTCTGCAGATTTACAGAAATATTTTATTTTTCATGATAAATACTGTAGACCATTTGTGTATCTTATACATCATGCATAAAACATTAGAAACAATTCACAAGCTTGATACATTTTGACATATACCAGTACCATATCCTTTTATTTCATACACATTAGAACCTGGAAACTCTAGAACTGATTTTCCGTGAAGTAAAGACGTTAATATCTTCTTTGACATTTTGATTTTTTCATTCCAAGAATCAGAAAAAATATTTAGCATTTCGTCACGAAAATTGTTTAAAAATGTACTTGTAAATACTCTACTCCTTTCTTCTGTAATATTTATATTATCCGTGGAATAATTTGTTGATTTATTTACTAATTTTTTGTGTTTCTTTTTCTTTGGTTTGTTTATTTCACTTCTCTCCATATCTTTTATATTTTCTTTATCCGAAATTTCTTTTTCATCTTTTACATTTTTCGATTCAGAGCTACGATCATTTACAATATCATCGTCTTTAGCTTTTTTGTTTTCTACATCGTTGTTAATTTCAGTTTCAGTTACAGAAATAACATCCTCGTTTTTTTTTAACTCTGACTCAGTATCTCTGACTTTTCTAGTTTTCTTCTTTTTTTTTTTTGTTTCACTTCTTTTTTGTTTCTTTTGAGTATTTTCTTGATCTTCAGCAATTTTACACTTTTCTTCCTCAAGCATTATATTTGTGTCTGATATTGTTTCTTTTTCTATATTTTTTTCATCATACTTATTCTCAATAGCATCTTGTATTTTATTCTTGTGCTTTTTCTTTTTCTTCTTCCTATTTGAAACATCTTCAAGTACATAATTATTGGGTACATTATCTTCCATCTTAGTTCGTTTTATCTCTGTTTCATCTTCACAGGCCTTCTCTTCTGATATTTCTACTATAGTTTCTAAATTCGATCGGCGACTTTTTTTCCTTTTTTTAGATTTTTTACTTTTACGTTCGTTAATTTCATTATCATATATTTCTTCGTTTGTTTCTATGTCCAAAGCTTCATTAACACAACCAGATTTATTATTAGTACAGTTATGTTTTTTTTTCTTTTTAGCTTTTTTATTTTCAACTTCAAATTTGTCTAATGTAGTTCTATTCTTTTTCTTTTTTACACAATCAGTACTATATTCTACATGATCATTAAATGTTACTCTTTTTTTATCATTTACTTCATCACTTAAATCTAAAGCTGAATTGGTAAGACCAAACTGTACTCTAGATACTTCAAATTCTTCCCCGTTATAAATTTCATTAGCTTCACATTCTAAGTTTAAGCCGGCATTTACAATACCATTTGCATAACTATTTTCATTTATACTATCATTTTTAAATTTATTAATTTTGTTATTTAAATATAACATGTCATTTAAATGTTCATTGTCATTAGACTTTCTTCTCTTAGAAAATTCGAATTCATTATTATCTGAAATATTTTCAGGACTATTTAGTTCAACACAAGGATTTTCAAAAGCATAGTTACAAGTACTTTTGATTTTGTTTATTTCCTCATTATCGTGAGAGTTTACTTTTCTAAATGTTGATGCAAATTCAGCATTTTCAGATTTTTTTTCTACATCAGTCTCTTCTTGTTTTTTATATTTTGATGCTGAAGACAAATTCTGACTTTTTTTCATAAAATATTCTGTCATATTACCACCATTTATAGTAATAATACTATTTCCGATAACATCATGAGTACCAACTGAATTAGAATTTTTGTTGTCGTTATCCTCTTCATTTTTACTATTTTCATTTATATTCAATTGTTTTTGGCCAAATATATTTGCCAAGTCCTTCAAACTATATTTACTTACATCTTTCTGTTTTGTAAATTTTTGATAACTAAACAAAAAAATGAAAGATGATAAAATAATTATATATATATATATATAAATATATTATAAATATTTTTATAATATAAATATAAATATAAATATATTATATTTTTATAATATAAATATAATATTTTTAT